TTGTTTTTCCACCTGTACATTCCCAAATCAAGTGAACATCATACTCCCTACTTCATACACCTGTCGCAAGCCCACTCTCACCACTTCCTTCAGATGCTAGTTCTTGTGATGGCTATCAATAGTTCACAAAGAACCAAAGTCCAATATTTCTAACAGCGATAGTGCTAATAAACTTATTCCCCAATGATTTACCATTGTATGTGTCTTCCCTACTAATGGTCTCAACAGACATGTAAACAACTTGCACAGAACCAAATTGTAGTGTCTTTGTCTTGATACAAGATGACTATTTCAGTCCGAGAGTCCAGTGAGCATGTGTGGACGTCACCCATAATTGATCATGGGTACTTATAGGTGTTCGTGTCAGTGTGGCTATTGTGGATGCATGTTTGTCTCGTATTGACAGATGTGGTTGTCTGGGTTGTGACAGGTTCGGTGTTGATTGCAGATATTGATAAGCAGGGAAGAGGACAATTTGTCCGCTGTCAGACTTGTCGGGTCGGACAGCGTCGGGTCGGAGAGTGTCGGGTCAATACATTCATTGTTCCTTATTTTGTGTCTGATGAATGAATGGTTCAGTTGTGGTAATTTGTTTTAATTGTTACAGAAATTGTTGAATATTAACATATATCTTCAGTGGATCCTTTGGATAAGTTTTGAATCATCATCATCATCATCATCATCAACAAAATCTTTATTATGTATGAAGGCCACAGGCCCATATACATATCAATATACATATTCCAAACAGGTATGAAAAAGTAAACGAAAAAAGGAAACAATTTCTCAAAAATGTCAGAATCAGTGCCAGAAATATGTCTGTCATATGTGTCTAAATTCTAGAACATGATACAGAATATTTTAAGATGATATCACTCACTAACTCTAGGATGCACATTTGCATGCACTGAACCCTCATGCAGCAGCTTCCTTCTCCCCTCCCTCCGCCAGCCCTGACAGCTTTTGTTGCTGTTCTCATCTCAGTCACTGGATTGTCTGGTTCAGTCTTGAATATTTACATGCAGCTGTCATTTAGCTGGATCAAACAGTTGATTTCTATTTGATTGTCCTTACAGTGAGTGAGTGAGTATGGTTTTACACCATGTCTAGCAATATTCCAGCAACATCATGGTGGAGATGCCAGAAATGCGCTTCACACATTATACCCATGTGGGGAATCGAACCCGGGTCTTCGGCATCATGTGCGAACACTTTAACTAATAGGCTACCCCACTGTCCCGATTGTCCCTACAGGATAGAGGAGCTAGATACAAATATGTGAATGAAATAGTCAGTCTGCTTTTTTCATTCATGGCTACAGCAGTCAAATCTTCCCAAAACCTCGTTTAGATATCGACAAGACCAACGGACATGGATACCAGCCTCTTGCCAATGTAACTGAAGTAAATCGTATTTACTTATAACAAAATGAGTATTGTGTTAATGACAGTTGCCAGGCTTTGACAGTACTTGAATGTTTTGACCACAACGTGACTGGTTTGTGACGGTGGTGGTAGACGGGGATTATTGATTAAGGTAAGATATCAGTTCGGGTCCACACACATTTTGTACACTGCACCAAAGGTATGGATTTATTAGTTTTCTTGAAGCTTGTTGTTTGGGGACTGTGAGCAGCAGAGGTCAGAGGACCGATACGAGGGACCATTCATTGACGACAAGGTAATAAGTCTTTTATAGCTACAGAAACCAGTGTAAGGAGGCTTAATTATTCATACTGTATTGTAGTGACTGGTGGTTAGCCGGCTTTCTTTAACTGTGATAGATTGAAGCTTTGAAGTGGCACCTGTAGTAGGTGCTCCGACTTGAAGTATTGGAAACATAAGTTTCATTGAGCAGGTGCTCACGCTGGGGGAGGGTGGTGTGAGAAACCAGAAACATGAAGTGAGGATTTACTGTATTTCCTGGATATGAACTGCATGTTATTGTGTATGATAAGTAAGTATTGTTAGTTTGATCCAGGTGCTGATATGACATTTATTCCTTCTTGTATTGTGTAGTAATCAAAAGTAGGTATATGTGAAGAGTATGGTGTGCAATAAATGTACCTGTAACAATATGGTACTTTAGTCACAGCATTCTATTGTTCACTGTGACATTTCTTCATCCTTCGCCTGTAATGAGGATGAATAGGACCTATTGATATCAGGTGTGATAAACTTACTGGGGTCCTGTATCATTTTTCTTCAGGTTTGTGCTGAAATTATCTAAAAAACTAGGGATACTCAAAATCATTACTTTTAACTATTTTGAGAATGTACCTGAGGCAAAGTTCCTAAGAAAATCTTTGGATGCCATTATTGGCTAATCTTTAGGAGTGTACAGGTATGTTACTTCAATTACAGATGCATGCTGTATATACTGAGGTATTCTCCATTTTTCTTTAAACCATTGTGTGGAACCTTGATGGTTGATAAGAAAATTTGAAGGAAAAGAAATTTGAACTGACATTGATCCAAATGGAATGTCAGGTGTGTGTTGAAGATCATGTGCCTTGTAATACCTTACATAGGTCTACATTGTTGCTTAGGTGAGATAGTTGAGTGTTGCACATGCACACCTGAGATAACGAGGGGCTAGTTGTCAGGTAAATCCCAGGTGTAAGTAGGTGTGAGATTGCTGATATGTACCTGGAATGTTGATTGTTCCTGGTTAATGGTGCCATGTAGGTGCACACTGCTGTGCTAGAACTGAACATGCAGAAAGCACCTGTTGTAGGGCTTCATGTGTGTGGAAATAGGGATATAAGTATGCATGGATAGAAATATTAAGTTATGATGCATGGATGTGTGTATAAGATATATTTATTTATGATGAGGTGGAAGTGATGGTAGAGTGAGTGAGTAAGGTTTTGCTCCACTTTTGGCAGTGTTTCAACAACATCTCTGCAGAGGACACCAGAATGCCCATGTGGGGAATCAAACCCAGGTGTTTGGCATAATGGGCAAATGTTTTAACCACTAGGCTACCCCACTGCCCTTGTGTGGGTAGAAATGGTGATTTGTGTAGGGTAGGGGATATATAGGAAAGGGACACCAGTTTGGATGGGGAGGTTTGTCTGTGTGGGATGCTGTGAGGAGGTCTGTTCATATTGGTTAAGATGTGTGGCTTTTACTGAATATGGAGTGGAGAAGAGGTTTTCCGGTTTGGTGGCATGGTGGAGGTGAGATTTGTGCTGTATCATGGTTGAGTTTCTGTGGGATGGAGCCGGTCTTTTCTTTTTAATTTTCAGTTTAATTATGAAAAATACTCAACTTAATCAACTTTTCTTTGGATGTATGTAATTTTGCTAATTCAATATATAAACATAGATTCCTATGTAATTTTATGGGGTTTCTTGTGAAATAGAAATTGTCCCCTCCTTGTGGATTAGACCACTCTCCCCGTGTGGTGTTGACCACCTCCGTGGTGTAGTGGTTAGAGCGTCCGCCCGGAGAGCGGAAGGTCGCGGGTTCGATCCCTGACCGCATCATACCAAAAGACGTTAAAATATGGTACTTGCTGGTTCCTGCCTGGCGCTCGGCATTAATGGGTACAACAAGGACTGGTCGGCTCGGAGTCAGTATAATGTGTCTGAGTGGGGTATTCATGCTTCACTGTGGCGTGAAATCTCAGTGAGCTAGCACTATAAAACCAGCTTCAGTCTGGGCTAGTACAAGCAGCCGCACATACACATACACACGCATGCACGTCGTCATATGAGCGAAATATTCTCAAGCACAACGTTAAACCCAATTTCACCTCACCTCACCTTGTGGATTAGTTCTGATGATATCATCTTGAGTGAGTGAGTAAGCTGACTAAACCCTTCATGCTTCCCCACAACCTACTGAATGAGTTGGGTGGGTTCCCTGTAACCCCCACAACCTACTGAATGAGTTGGGTGGGTCTCCTGTAACCCCCACAACCTACTGAATGAGTTGGGTGGGTCCCCTGTAACCCCCACAACCTACTGAATGAGTTGGGTGGGTCCCCTGTAACCCCCACGTCCTACAGGAGTGAGTAGACTTGGCCAGCTAGCCCCTCCACATTGATTGAGTGAGTGAGTTCACTCGGCCCCCTATAACCTTATCATAAGCTTGGTATTCAAGACCCATAATTACCTGTAATAAAAACCTGCATTTTATTCTGATCAACTTCAAAGAAGGATGTGCAGTAATCATGAAATATTTACTATCAGCACTGGTTGATGGCCCTGGTGAAGCCCTGTGTTCTGTCTCACACAGCCATATGTCAGACTGCAGTCCTTCGACAGACATTCCTGAAATATGAATACTTTGTCAACTTTAGGGTCGACTTCTTTGTCCATTCAGAGTGAGATACGATCATATTTTGTCAGTGATCAAGGTAGAGAACCCTCCTTTATGAATACTTATGATGGATTACATCCATAGATTATTCATAAAGGAATTCTTCTTTGAACTATATGATGAATTTCTTTTATTAGAGAGGATTTAGTGACCGTTTGATGGTGTAATTTTCCATTGTGTATCCTGTACAGGAAATAACTGTGGAAGAACAAGCACCTTAATTATACTTCAGAAGATTGATATTGACTGCATGTTGAAGGGATGGAAATGTCAGAGGGAACAGGTCAAAGGGTACAAATTAAGCAGTATAAAAAACCCAGCTCCCTTAGATGTTCCTGAAACCTGATTATAGGTTCAAATTCTAATTCCCCCTGTCTTGTCAACCCGATATTGAAGCTTGAAATTGTCAACATCATAGACTTGCACCATTTAGAGATTTGTTCTTACTTTCAATCAATACTCAATGTAATCACGGTAATGCTGTTCAAAACTGTGTTATGCCTAACCCACTTACTGACTTAGTCACTTCAGGAACGCATATACAGATCATTTATGTAATGCCTCAGGTGGTGTTAGGTGGCCGAGTAGTTTGGTGGTTTACTATTCAAATACATATTTATGGTGGCCAATACTTTTGTATTCCATTCTAATGTCAGTTTCTGTTCATTTCAGGCTGAGGAGTTGAACACTATCATTGGAAATGCCTTTAAAATGGCCTATGCTCAGCAGCGTGAAAGACAGCCGACTTTCCACGAGCTTATAGAGCAGCAGGTTCTGGAGCAGCAGGCCAAGTTCCGGGAGGTGCAGGAACAGGAGAAAAGGTGAGTGGCCAGCAGTACATCTCAGTGTGAGTGAGTGAGTGAGTGAGAGAGAGAGAGAAGAGAGAGTGAGAAGAGAGAGACGGTTTGTGTGGCTCCCAACCAACAGTACATCTCAGTGTGAGTGAGTGAGAGAGTGAGTGAGAAGAGAAAGATGGTTTGTGTGGCTCCCAACCAACAGTACATCTCAGTGTGAGTGAGTGAGAGTGAGTGAGAGAGAAAGATGGTTTGTGTGGCTCCCAACCAACAGTACATCTCAGTGTGAGTGAGTGAGAGAGAGAGTGAGAAGAGAAAGATGGTTTGTGTGGCTCCCAACCAACAGTACATCTCAGAGGGAGTGAGTGAGAGAGAGAGTGAGAAGAGAAAGATTTGTGGGCCTCCCAACCGACAGTACATCTCAGTGTGAGTGAGTGAGTGAGTGAGAGAGAGAGAGAGAGAGAGAGACGGTTTGTGTGGCTCCCAACCAACAGTACATCTCAGAGTGAGTGAGTGAGTGAGGGAGAAAGAGAGAGAGGGTTGGTGCTGCTCCCAACCAACAGTACATGTCAGTGTGAGTGAGTGGGTTAGTGAGAGGTTGGTTTGTGTGGCTCCCACCAACAGTACATCTCAGTGAGTGAGGAGTGAGGGAGAAAGACCAGAGGGTTGTACATCTCAAACAACAGTACAGTCAGCGTGAGAGAGTAAGTGAGAGAGTAAGAAGAGAGAGGATGGTGTGGCTCCCAACCAACAGTACATCTCAGAGTGAGTGAGAAGAGAGATTGTTGGTGTGCAAACAACAGTACATCTCAGAGTGAGTGAGAAGAGAGATTGTTGGTGTGCAACCAACAGTACATCTCAGTATGAGTGAGTGAGGGAGAAAGAAGAGAGACGGTTGGTGCTGCTCCCAACCAACAGTACATTTCAGTGGGAGTGAATGAGTGAGTAAGAAGAGATTTGCCTGTCATACAGACCCTGAAGCAAAATGAAGAAAGTCTCAGGGCTCCTTTTCATTATATTTTAATTTTTTTTGCTATGAGCTTTTTTTCTGTAAAATATGTTCATTTCAGAGACTAGTTGGTAGTCTAGAGAAGAGAGTGACGGTCTGTGTGTCTCACAATGAATGAGTGACAAAAAAGTGACCATGAAGTGCAAATAGACCATCTCTATTTCTGTTGAAACATTGTGGTTGACCTTTTATAGTCTTGGAATCATGACTGTTGACAATTTCTTTCATTTCCTTCAGGAAGATTCTATAAAAGCACCATGAGTAATGAGGCAGTATTGCTGATAGTTGCACAACATGATCCTGTTTCTTGGAACTCTTCTTCAGGGTTTTACAACAAAAGCTAAACGAAATAGCAACCCCTACTCCTTTCTCTGAAAAGGCCATTCAGAGGATGGAGATGAGACGACAGATCAGCGACGAAAGTTTACAGCAGCAACAGCAGCAGCTACAGCAGCAGCAGCAGGCAGAGCGAGAACGAGAGTATGTTGTAGGCAAGAACAAAGTCTGGGTAGGTGGAGTCAATGAATGCTGGGATATCTTCTGTAGAATAGTTCCAACACTGAGCATGTTGAAATGTGGTACAGATTGAACATGTTACACAGGTAGATGCCCTTGTACTACAGTCTTGCTGTTACCCTGGGGTTTAATCTGTCTCATCCAAAATAGTAATGCCAGCCTTTGATTTTAAACCCCAAACCAGAGTCTTGTAAAATTCAGATATTTTTTGGTAGATTATCTATTAGCAGACTATGTGAAAAAGATTTATGTAAACTTGTAAATTTTCACTGAGTTGGGCATGTCAGTCGTTACGACTCACTTCTGATGAAGGTGCTAAGGATACTGTTATTTAACTGAGAGGTTTAACTTTGACAGCTTGATTTCTACTTGCTATGCATTCATTCAGAAATCCATAAGATAGTGTACAATTTTGTGTATATCAACTTCTGGTTTATTAGATTGTTAGACATTTGGTTGTGGAGTATTACACTTTTACCAATGAAGTAGATTTGTCAGTGTTAGAAGCTACATTGAAACGTTGATGTACACCCAAAAAACAACACACGTTGTTATCCTTTAAGTTTTTTGTTTACTCACCACCTTCAAAATGCCTCTTAAACAGTCTTTCAGGAATGATTTCATTCTCTACCCCCTCAAGCATGCCTTACTATGAATACTCCAGTCCAGAGATCGTGTTTGTATTCTGGAACTACCTCTGTACCATGTTTCTATCAATTGTATTGACAATTCTTGCACTTGTTTAACATCATCATATTGTTACACCTAAAATATATCTTTAGAAATATTGATTCTTTTCATGCACAAATTAATCCACATTTACATCACATAATGATTTGAAATTATTCACACACATTAAACCATTTACAAACAACACGAAGTTCACTCGTTGTTTGCGCATGTGTTGTCTGGACGTCATGTGACCTTGTTTAGGCATGTGTCTGTCAAGGTTGAGTTTCTATTGCAGCTTTCATTACGCAGTCCTAAGAAGGTAGTATATATCACCTCGTATTCCCTACTCTCCCCGTATCGCATGATCTGCTTCTGTCATATACTTCATGTCATACATATTACATGCTTGATATCACCTGGGATTATCACATGATCACATGACTGATATCTTCATGAATATATGATCATAAATGTACGTGCTTCACTTTAATTTGCTGCTCACATCACTTTTCAGTTTTCACCCTCCACACCACAACCTTTTCTCATTTAAATCAAAATTGGCCTCTCCAGTTTAACTGGTATTGAACTGTTCATCATATTTATACGTTGTAGGTCATTATTTACTATTCTTGTTAGATTATATCCTATAAACTCTGTTGGGGATCTTGTAAGTTGTGTCTGGGTTAAGTTAAATTTCTGGACTTTCAGACTTTATTTATTTTAGCAGAGTTATCTCCCTTTGACCTAGTCGCCTCCTCAACTTCCCTATGTGTTGTGATACATGTTTTCTGGTTATTGTCTGTGTGTGCTGATAGTGTCTGTAATTTTATTTACTTTTTATGACCAATTGACAATAATTATATTTTGTAACAAGGATTCAGTTATGTTTTCATTAAGACTCTGATTTACTTTTCTGAAGCCAGTAGATGTTGTAATATACCACACCATGATATATATTTCTCAGCCTTTTTTAATGGATTTGAAGAAGGTACCTGTTGGTATCTGTAAACATCAATAAATAAATTCTGAAATGACATGTGTAGTTGATCACAAGATCTGTTTCTACAAGGTCTAGAGTTACGCAGAGTCAACATGTATGATCAGACTAGTGATTTACACCAACATGCCTACAGTATGGAAGACATAGCAAGCACCTGTTCATAGTGATGTCATTGTATATTGTGATAGAAAATGATGATTCACTGCTTCAGAAACATTTTATACATATAAAATTGGCCTGATCCAATAAAATCTGCCATCTTGGGTTTGAATCCAAGATTGGTCTTGATTATGTCAAGTTTGTCAGGTAAGATCTGTACTATGGGTTTTGCCAATGTAGTAAATGTATAGGTACTGAGAAGCGGTACTGTGACTCACTCACCCACTCACACACATATAGCACTGTCCATACTGTTTAGTTGTTTAGACTTAAGAATATTCTTTTGCACAAAGTGTTCCCAACTGTGCATATTCACAGAGAAATTAAGATAACATGTTTATTGTGTGTGATTGAAACTCTCATTTTGAGTTTGGAATAATGAATTTAGTTGAAAAGCTTTAGATATTAACCCAAATACAAGTTTTTTAGAAGTCAGTAGCCATGCTTACACTGCTGAATTGGACTTCAACATAAATAATAGCTTTGCAGTACTAAACAGTCAGAGTATCAAGTGGGATATCTTTTGTGGGTAAGAGATACACATGGACTGCCTTACTGTCTAAGATGGAATTTGCTTTGCATAGTTGCATCCCTGATGAATACCAGGATTCGCTGCTTGTGGGTTCAACTCCAAGATCTGTATTTATCTATACTAAGGCCAGTGCATATACTGACTGACTGAGTTTGATTTTACGCCGCTTTTAGCAATATTCCAGTAACATCACGGCGGGGGACACCAGAAATGGGCTTCACATACCCATGTGGGGATTTGAACCCGGGTCTTCGGCGTGACGAGCCAACGCTTTAACCACTAGGCTACCCCACTGCCCCCAGTGCATATACGTTACACTGAAGTGGTTAACACCTGGCACCTATATTACTTCGGATTGCCTCCAACATCAAGCAGAGATGCTGTAGAACTGAAATATCGTTCATGGCAGTGTGCCACCCACTATTGGTAGTAGAGTATGGATGGCAGTATTGGCTACAGCTTTTAGAGTGACACTGGTTTATTCTGCAGCTTCTACTTAGATATTGTATATTGGATTTAGTGTTTGAGTGATGATTAATTTGTGAGTGTTGTTTTGTTACAGTGTATATGAGTTGATTTGAGAATATTTTACGTGTAATTTGGTGAGAACCTTTATCTATTTGAACATATACACACCATATAATCCATCACAGATAGTTTTACCAGCTTGAAGCATAATTCTGAGTTAGACCGGTACATACTGTGGCTATGGTTCATATCAAGCTGTTGTGGTGTTTTGTCATGTTGTCATCCAGCTGGCTTACACAGGACATACTGATAGGTTCATATCAGGCAATAACTCCTGGCAGATACAGCTATAATCAAATTAAATCACAGTGCTCTGCAGACCATTGTGACGTGATCAGTTGCTATGACATCACAATCAAACAATTAATCTCTGATCCTGAAGCTGGTTAGCTGTACCTTTACACTCAAAACACTGTTTATTACTGTCAATAAAATGAAAAGGTTTTAAGAAAACCCATTCGTAAACAATTTATACCATTGTAAGTAATACATAAGAAAATATGACACACTGCATCACATTATTCAGTATCACATGAGTCATGGTAGAGGTGTAATAACAAATCGTTAGGTGATATGAACAAGATATTACTGTCAATAAACTGAAAAAGTATTCACTATCATATAATATGTCATGCAACAGGTGTAATAACAGATTGTTAGGACATATAACAATATAATGACAGTGTGCATCACACTCTACACTGTCATACAGTATGTCATACAACAGGTGTAATAACAGATTGTTAGGACATATAACAATATAATGACAGTGTGCATCACACTCTACACTGTCATACAGTATGTCATGCAACAGGTGTAATAACAGATTGTTAGGACATATAACAATATAATGACAGTGTGCATCACACTCTACACTGTCATACAGTATGTCATGCAACAGGTGTAATAACAGATTGTTAGGACATATAACAATATAATGACAGTGTGCATCACACTCTACACTGTCATACAGTATGTCATACAACAGGTGTAATAACAGATTGTTAGGACATATAACAATATAATGACAGTGTGCATCACACTCTACACTGTCATACAGTATGTCATACAACAGGTGTAATAACAGATTGTTAGGACATATAACAATATAATGACAGTGTGCATCACACTCTACACTGTCATACAGTATGTCATACAACAGGTGTAATAACAGATTGTTAGGACATATAACAATATAATGACAGTGTGCATCACACTCTACACTATCATACAGTATGTCATGCAACAGGTGTAATAACAGATTGTTAGGACATATAACAATATAATGACAGTGTGCATCACACTCTACACTGTCATACAGTATGTCATGCAACAGGTGTAATAACAGATTGTTAGGACATATAACAATATAATGACAGTGTGCATCACACTCTACACTGTCATACAGTATGTCATGCAACAGGTGTAATAACAGATTGTTAGGACATATAACAATATAATGACAGTGTGCATCACACTCTACACTGTCATACAGTATGTCATACAACAGGTGTAATAACAGATTGTTAGGACATATAACAATATAATGACAGTGTGCATCACACTCTACACTATCATACAGTATGTCATGCAACAGGTGTAATAACAGATTGTTAGGACATATAACAATATAATGACAGTGTGCATCACACTCTACACTGTCATACAGTATGTCATGCAACAGGTGTAATAACAGATTGTTAGGACATATAACAATATAATGACAGTGTGCATCACACTCTACACTGTCATACAGTATGTCATGCAACAGGTGTAATAACAGATTGTTAGGACATATAACAATATAATGACAGTGTGCATCACACTCTACACTATCATACAGTATGTCATGCAACAGGTGTAATAACAGATTGTTAGGACATATAACAATATAATGACAGTGTGCATCACACTCTACACTGTCATACAGTATGTCATGCAACAGGTGTAATAACAGATTGTTAGGACATATAACAATATAATGACAGTGTGCATCACACTCTACACTGTCATACAGTATGTCATGCAACAGGTGTAATAACAGATTGTTAGGACATATAACAATATAATGACAGTGTGCATCACACTCTACACTATCATACAGTATGTCATGCAACAGGTGTAATAACAGATTGTTAGGACATATAACAATATAATGACAGTGTGCATCACACTCTACACTGTCATACAGTATGTCATGCAACAGGTGTAATAACAGATTGTTAGGACATATAACAATATAATGACAGTGTGCATCACACTCTACACTGTCATACAGTATGTCATGCAACAGGTGTAATAACAGATTGTTAGGACATATAACAATATAATGACAGTGTGCATCACACTCTACACTGTCATACAGTATGTCATGCAACAGGTGTAATAACAGATTGTTAGGACATATAACAATATAATGACAGTGTGCATCACACTCTACACTGTCATACAGTATGTCATGCAACAGGTGTAATAACAGATTGTTAGGACATATAACAATATAATGACAGTGTGCATCACACTCTACACTGTCATACAGTATGTCATGCAACAGGTGTAATAACAGATTGTTAGGACATATAACAATATAATGACAGTGTGCATCACACTCTACACTGTCATATACAGTATGTCATGCAACAGGTGTAATAACAGATTGTTAGGACATATAACAATATAATGACAGTGTGCATCACACTCTACACTGTCATACAGTATGTCATGCAACAGGTGTAATAACAGATTGTTAGGACATATAACAATATAATGACAGTGTGCATCATACTCTACACTATCATACAGTATGTCATGCAACAGGTGTAATAACAGATTGTTAGGACATATAACAATATAATGACAGTGTGCATCACACTCTACACTATCATACAGTATGTCATGCAACAGGTGTAATAACAGATTGTTAGGACATATAACAATATAATGACAGTGTGCATCACACTCTACACTGTCATACAGTATGTCATGCAACAGGTGTAATAACAGATTGTTAGGACATATAACAATATAATGACAGTGTGCATCACACTCTACACTGTCATACAGTATGTCATGCAACAGGTGTAATAACAGATTGTTAGGACATATAACAATATAATGACAGTGTGCATCATACTCTACACTATCATACAGTATGTCATGCAACAGGTGTAATAACAGATTGTTAGGACATATAACAATATAATGACAGTGTGCATCACACTCTACACTGTCATACAGTATGTCATGCAGATTGTTAGGACATAATAACAGATTGTTAGGACATATAACAATATAATGACAGTGTTAGGACATCACACTCTATAATGACAGTGTGCATCATACTCTACACTGTGCATCACAGATTGTACACTATCATACAGTATGTCATGCAACAGGTGTAATAACAGATTGTTAGGACATATAACAATATAATGACAGTGTGCATCACACTCTACACTGTCATACAGTATGTCATGCAACAGGTGTAATAACAGATTGTTAGGACATATAACAATATAATGACAGTGTGCATCATACTCTACACTATCATACAGTATGTCATGCAACAGGTGTAATAACAGATTGTTAGGACATATAACAATATAATGACAGTGTGCATCATACTCTACACTGTCATACAGTATGTCATGCAACAGGTGTAATAACAGATTGTTAGGACATATAACAATATAATGACAGTGTGCATCACACTCTACACTGTCATACAGTATGTCATGCAACAGGTGTAATAACAGATTGTTAGGACATATAACAATATAATGACAGTGTGCATCACACTCTACACTGTCATACAGTATGTCATGCAACAGGTGTAATAACAGATTGTTAGGACATATAACAATATAATGACAGTGCATCACACTCTACACTATCATACAGTATGTCATGCAACAGGTGTAATAACAGATTGTTAGGACATATAACAATATAATGACAGTGTGCATCACACTCTACACTGTCATACAGTATGTCATGCAACAGGTGTAATAACAGATTGTTAGGACATATAACAATATAATGACAGTGTGCATCACACTCTACACTGTCATACAGTATGTCATGCAACAGGTGTAATAACAGATTGTTAGGACATATAACAATATAATGACAGTGTGCATCATACTCTACACTATCATACAGTATGTCAAACTGGCACTAGTAGACTAGCATACCACTGGCCCACCAGACAGTGGAACAAGAGTAGATAGACAGATTGCCTAGGGAGAAGGGTATAACACCCCGACACCCTCAGGTAACAGATGCCAAATGTATGTACTGGGCCGGTTAAAGTGCAGTCTGTTTAATGTATCCATATACACAGCCATTATCCATGTTAACCTGTCAGATTAATGTAACAGTATACGTTGGTACATACAAAATATATGGGACGGTATTAGCGGATATAGTAAGGGGTGACAGTATGCATGGCACCAGGTCCTCTCATGCATCAGAGATATTATAGCTGCACCAGTTAGTGATGTGTAACCCTCCACACTGTATAGACAACCACTATCACTGTTAATGACTGATCACTGAATCACTGGCTCATGTCATCTGTAATATCAGGCATTTCATAAACACTACATGGGAGATAAATAGCATGATTGGAATCCTTAAGATATAATTACTGTTTATGAGGTGCCTTTGGAAGATTATTTACAAGATAGTTTTATTGATTTTCTACTAATTCGTTCACCTGATGTAGGAGCAAGAATTAGCACTGAAACCACATGATAAAGAATAAAATAGAAGTTATCAATATCCATGTATTTACCTTCTACTCTGTCAAAAATATTTGAGAAGTGAAGTGAATATATTGTTTCAATATATGCCTACATTTATGTTTTTCTGAAAATATAATTCAAATTAATTTTAGGAAATTAACATCAAATTAGCTCTGTTACGTGTTTTTGCAAACTGACGAGAAAATCTTTGGAAAAACAGAAATGTAATTGATCTGACAGTATTCTGGTTTAAATGTATAACATGTATGGTTATTGTCTTCATAGGCCAAGCAGATCGTGGAGCGTGTACGTCATCGGTCACCCGTACGGACCCATCGTCCCCAGTTCACAGACGCACAGAGTCCCCGCCCCCAACATCCAACTCCACCAATCAGATTGCAACACCGAGGTCAGCCTTACAACTGGCAGCATCTAAGCGCAACTCCACTCCTCCACAAGTGCCATCCCACAATTCCCCACATCACTCCCTCACGGTGGCAGCTATACGAGAGTCACTGGATAATTCTAATAATTCAAACAAATTCAAAGGTTCACCAGTGACTGCTTTGAAGGATGAGATAGACCGGAGGTTTATGTGTAACGGCAGTTCCCCCACCCATGGTGAGCGACCCGTCAGCATGGTCACACCCAAGTCACAGACTCATGTACAAGAAGTGCGCTTTCGACATTCAGTATCGGAACAGTTTAGTCGGGAAGATCGGGTAAGTTGTCTGAATTCTCATTTCCTTACACCTTGGTGAAAGTTCCAATGATCTGAAAAGGAATACAATATGTAATGATAATACAGTATATATAATAGTGTAAGATCAAACGTAAGGTCAAACATTTGCTTGCTAAAGAGATGGAGCCAAGTTGTTTTGTTTGTTGTTTAATGCCGCTCTCAGCAATATGGCAGCGGTCTATAAATAATCGAGCCTGGACCAGACAATCCAGCGATCAACAGCATGAGCATCGATCTACGCAATTAGAGTGCGTTTTTGCCAAAGTGTTTCAACACTACACCGTCGCCCATCACTAGACACAATGTTCCGGTGCACTGACTTGATCAAAAAACGTTTTAGCTGTTACTAATTTCAATGATATGGTCGTGAATGAACGATGTTCCGGTGCACTGACTTGATCAAAAACGTTTTAGCTGTTACTACTGACTGACTGACTGAGTTTAGTTTTACGCCGCTATTAGCATTATTCCAGCAATATCACGGCGGGGGACACCAAAAATGGGCTTAACACATTGTGCCCATGTGGGGAATCAAACCCGGGTCTTCGGTATGACGAGCCAACGCTTTAACCACTAGGCTACCCCACCACCCCAGCTGTTACTAAGTTCAATGATATAGTCGTGAATGAACGATGTTCCGGTGCACTGACTTGATAAAAAACCGTTTTAGCTGTTACTAAGTTCAATGATATAGTCGTGAATGAACGATGTTCCAGTCCACTGACTTGATCAAAAAAACGTTTTAGCTGTTACTAAGTTCAATTATATAGTCGTGAATGACTTGATCAAAAAACGTTTTAGCTGTTACTAAGTTCAATGATATAGTCGTGAATGAACGATGTTCTGGCGCACTGACTTGATCAAAAAACGTTTTAGCTGTTACTTAGTTCAATGATATAGTCGTGAATGAACGATGTTCTGGCGCACTGACTTGATCAAAAAACGTTTTAGCTGTTACTTAGTTCAATGATATAGTCGTGAATGAACGATGTTCCGGCGCACTGGCTTGATAAAAAAATGTTTTAGCTGTTACTAAGTTCAATGATATTGTATTTAAATGATCATTTTTATCATATTGACAAATGTTAATAAATTATTCCGTACAAGATATTTTTGTCGTATTCTAAAGCGATATTACAACAGTGTTTCCGGTGAGTTTCGAATTTACCAGTCCATGGGACTGGTAAGCCTCAAATATACCAGTCCCTTATTATTTTCACCAGTCCACTTCTTTTCCATGTTAAATAAAGATAACAACAAGAATGTGTGTGTGTGTTTGTGTTTCATTTTTAATAACAACAAACGTATCAAACTCATTCGAACATGAAATGTGAAATGACGTCACATGTTACTAGTAAACCGCAAGTTTGTTTGGCAGTACTTGTACAGTTATCAACTGTTAATTACACTTTTCTTTTCTTGGTTTTACGGAATAGTTCGGATGCTCTGAACATCAACAATATCACTGTACCCTTGCCAAGAGTATTTTCACAGTTGTAAGAAGCGATTTTATTGGAAAAAGATTGGTTTCTAATGACGCTTTTTCGCCACAGTCTGCTATAAGGGTCGTGATTGGTCAAAATCAGACACGTGACCTAAGGCAGCCAATCATATTACAGCAATGGATACCGTCCTCGTAAACGAAAACTTTTAGATTTTGACAAAAGTTTTGGGTAAAATAATGCTATTCTGAACATATTAAGCAAGAAATCGCTACCTATACGTAAATTATGGAACTTATTGGACGTATCGCTCTTGGTTATGACCTGTGACAAAAATGCTTCATGTATGTATTTTCGCATTAAACATCGTGTCCGAGCATGACGATTGAGGCGGCGAGAGCCGAGATGTCACTTGTCAGTGACTTGACTTGCATTACATGATCGCACAAAAAGATGGAAATAGTAATTTTATATGTACGTTTGACAACTTTAATGAATGCTGTTGTTGATTTTATTCATTAGTTTATTCAATTTATTTAATAATTTCCTCGAAACATCGTTACTTTGCTCTTTGACAATGTTATTGTAGACCCGCTGCCGAAGCATGTGTCCGAGAATCGTTGTTTTCAAGAACATTGCGAAAAATAGTTTATACTTTTAATTCTGCTGATAATATATGATAAATTGAAATTTAATAAGTGTTTTCAGACATTGTGAAATGTGATAGATTTGATATATGAATCAAAAGTCAGGTAGGTTCCTAAAATTATGTCTCATTTTGACGTGACTACTGCCTGGCCGATTTATCGTCCTCCCGTGTCTGGGGACTCATAACGTTGTGGCCGATTATTCGGCCTGCGGTGTTGAATGGGTTAATATGTCCATTCCCCATCGTAAAGTTGTCTTACTATTGGCCCCGATAGAGTATTGAAATCTGATGCATTATAACCTCACGCCAAAATGCCTCTCATCTGGATCGAGGCTAAGCGAGACGTCCAGCCAATGACAATAATCGCTTGGGACTGTTACTAAAAATAGACACGGAATTCCTTACACGTATCGCATATGGTGCAGATCGAATTTACATGAAGTTTCCTTTATCTAACAGTTGCTGGTAATTTGTATTGCCAATTTGGAGGAAATGATTTAACCGGGTGTATTTATTGCCGGTCCCCAGGACTTGTTTGCCATAAATATGCCGGTCCTTTGATTTTTTTACCGGTAAAATACCGGCATATGCCGGTAAACGGAAACACTGTACAAGGTACTATTTTCCATAGCGTAGTTTTGTTATTACCCCTGGAGAAGTTTAATACGCGCATGAATACGAATCAGCTGTTTGAGTTCACAAGTCGTCTCTCCGGGTGGGTTTTATTTCAAGGTTCTTCTTTTTTAATTACATTATGGGTAATAAATAGAATAACCAACAAGGTACGAGTGATTACGGGAAATATGCCCTCATTAAAATAATGTTCAGTGCCTTGCCAAGGCTCGGCACTGTGAACTTTATTTCAACTTGGGCATATTTCCTGTAATCACTCGTACCCCGTTGGTTATTCTCAAAATTATGACCATGAGGTGATGTCGAAAGACATGTTGACAGCATTGATGACAGAATTCCGTTTTCCCCAGTGAAAATTCTCTGTTCACACTGGTATTAGGCAACTGATCCTTTTCTTAAAGAGAAACTGTGGTGATTTGGTGGTCGACTTGGTTCATACATGGCAGCTTATCCCAACGGCAAACTGTCACTGTCTTTCCTCAAACAATGCAGGTGTTGGATAGCCAAGTGGTTAAAGCATTCGCTTGTCGCACCAAAGACTTGGGTTTGATTTCCAACATGGGTACAATGTGTGAAGCCCTTTTCTGGTGTCCCCTGCCGTGATATTGGTGGAATATTGCTTAACTCACTCACTCACTTCATACTGTGCACTGATGAAAGGATGTCAAGGAGAGGATTTTACTGAGCTTCTTTTCTTGGAATGTTATGGGAGACAACTCTTGTAGGTTTGTCTTGAGTAGGGTTTCCTGTGGTACAGGCTATTGAAGCGTTTGTAAAATCATCGTGAAATGCAAACTTCAGCCAATGTTGATGCATAATAAATGGTGTAATGAAAAATTTGTTTGAAACTTACCGCGGAGGGAAAGGCTCCTAGTCACAACACTATGTAGTTCATTACTGTATGATGAATGATAAATCAAAACCTTTAGAAACTGAAGAAATCACCCATTTACTTTGTTGGCTTTGATTCCAGTTATTGCCATCTGGAGTTTGTGACTAGATGACATTAACTTGTATTGTCTATGATCTTTATCCTATCTCATGGGTTTCTTTGAGCAACACACACTCTTAATAGGTGTCCATAGCATAATTCAATCATACACTCTCAACAGGTTTCTTTGGAATAGACCGCCTCCGTGGTGTAGTGGTTAGAGTGTCTGCCCGGGAGTGCGGAAGGTCGCGGGTTCGATCCCCGACCGCGTCATACCAAAATATGTTAAGATATGGTACTTGTTGGTCCCTGCCTGGCGCTCGGCATTAATGGGTAAAACAAGGACTGGTCGGCTCGGAGTGAGTATAATGTGTCTTAGTGGGGTATTCATGCTTCACTGCGGCATGGTATCTCAGTGGGCTAGCACTATAAAACCAGCTTAATTCTGGGCTAGTACAAGCAGACGCACATACACATACACACGCATGCACGTCGTCATATGAGCGAAATATTCTCAAGCACGACGTTAAACCCAATTCCACCACCTCTCTTTGGAACAATTCTCTTAATTTTCAGAGTTTGTAGGATCAATTCGAACCACAGCTGTAAATAAATGTCAAATAGATATCAATTTGGTTCCAAGCATCAGCGATGACAGCTTATTTCCCGGTATAACTATAAACTGTCTCCAGCTCAGCTAGACCTGTCAGTTCGTGTCATTGAAGAACCATGCATGACTGGAGTTCTCGTTTAAAGCAGTGGTTACAAAGATTGAAATAATGAAGTTGTAATGAATGCAATCATTTTTTCCCCAGCTTTTTATTTATTTTGTGTTTTCATGGTCACACATAGGGAGGTTGTGTACTTGGCTGTGCAGGCAGAGAATATTGCATGGTTGCTATGGACAAAAAAAAGAAGCTTCGGATGTCATAGTAGTGTTTGAAAATCAATATCCTTTAGATCTTTGATGCCTGGAATGACCAATTTTGTGTGTGAGTGGGTGTAGCTCAAGCAGAGTTTAGCAATAGTCCTGTCTCTTTGGATCCGAATTGGTGTATCCTTTTTTGCATGAAACAACTAAAAAACTGTCATAAATGTAGGATGGATAAAATTGTTGCAGTAAAAGATTGTCTAAAAAGAACCCACATACTTGATTCCTGTAAACTGAGACTTTACTGTTTATAGTAATATGGTACTTCTAAGATATGATGTGCAGTAATGAAATGAAAACAGAATCAGGTGTTCCCATGCTTCCCAATAAACTTATTATCTGCATTTACATAAAGTGGATTTCATATCCCAGACTGAACTCACTCCATTAGGCC